TGAACTGTGTTGCTATAAACAATTTGAGAAGCCCTTTGTGTCCCCAACTGCTGGCTCTTTTCTCTGAGCCACCCCCAGGACCCCCCCCCCCCCGCCCTGCCATCCCCGTGTCTCTGTAGCCAATCACCTGGGGGAGCCCAGACCTGGCTCTCCTTTGTCTGACTTGGCCATGGGTCTCTCCCTGAGCCAATCGTGTGTCTAGAGGTATAGATGCTCCCGTGAGGCCAAGGGTGCAGGGTGGACACAGTACCTGGTATCCAGCGCACGGTTCATAGGTGACCTTCCTCCTCAAATATCTAATGGGAGACTCACCTTGAAATGCTGCTGTCTCAAAGGCTTCTTCCCGCCTCATCCCGGCCTGACTTTACAACCCCCATCTCCAGCTGACCTCTCTCCCACACCCTGTGTTCTGGTCACAGCCAGCTACTCCCTGTGTCCAAACAAACGTGAGCTCCTGTTTCTCTGCTTTTGTAAGTACATTCTGTTCCTTACCCTAGAGGGACCTTCTTCCCCCTTTACTCATGTTTTAAGGTCCTAAGTCACGCTCAGGAGACGCTTGGGCAGAGCCACTCCATCTCTTCTCTTCCCTGAGGTTCCACCACCTCCCCTGTTGTGTCATGCTGGACAGAGCCTCTTGCCCCTAAGTCCTGATAAGACATTAAGGCTGAGCCTCTGAAGGCAAGGGCTGTGTCCCAGCCAGCTCCAGGAGTGGGCGTCCTGCAGTAGACAGTGTTTGGTGCAAGACTGGGTAGATGCCGTCACCCTCTGCCATTCCCTTGATTATCTTACTCTGCTCACCACTGGGTCCCACAGGTTTCCCATTCTGACAGCTAGGACCTATTTTTCATGTATGTCCCAGGAAACCAAAACTGCCTAAGAGTGCCCATGTCCCAGGGGTAACCTGCAATCAATGACCGACACTGTAGGGATATGACATTCCAGCTCCTGTGTCCTCATGGGACAATACTAGGGCATGACCCACCCTTGTCCCTCTGTGACCGACACCACTGATGACACACCGGGGCTTGACCTCCTTCCCTTCCCCACCCCAGTTACCAACTTTTACCAGTCTTCCTTGGGGACAGTTCCTCAAGTCACTTTCGCATGAATCCTCCATCTCAGAGCCCCAGACCTGCCTCTGGGGCACCTGGCCTGAGGATGAACAGAATGAAAAGGTCAGAGATGGATAAATATTTATTGACTGGCAACTTCGTGGAAGTGATAGGGGACCAGGGAGGACTCCTTCCTGGGATGTGTCTTCCCAAGGAGACAAGATGTGCCTGTTTGGAAAAAGAACCCGTATCCAATAGGAAATGTGGTGGACCAGGTCCAGAGAAGGAGGGATCAGGGTGGACACGGGGCGGGGGGGGACATCGGAGGCTAGTCAGAATTCACAGGTGGGAGTGAGGCTTGATCTGGGGACAACCTGGCGAACCCAATGACCCAGAGAATGCAGCAGCATCACTGGAGTCAGAAAATGAGTGTTTGGGTCAGGACAGGCAGACATGGAATCCATCCAAAAAGCAGCTTGAACTTTGTCTCATAAGGCAACATGGTGTTGGGGGGGGGGAAATCAACATTCATTTATTCATTCAACAAACATTTAACGAGTGCTCTTAACATGTGGCACACCCACGGTCAGGAACAGGGTGTTCTCTAAGAAAGGGAGTTCCTGACACGAACTGCATGTTCTGGCTGCCAGGATCTTGGCTGTCTTTGTTAGTTGGATCCACCTAACATTCCTGGATAGATTTTTTTTTTTTCCCCTGAACAGTTTTATCATGTGTGCATGGTCATTTTCTGATCACAGGCAAAGTATGGCCAGCCTCAATGTTTAAACATGAAACTGTATGCCAGAGGAGAAGAAATGTCTTCTATTCAAATCAGGGGACCGGATGTCTTCTGGAATGGGGATTCGGCTTCTGTTTCCTCCCTGAAAAACTGTTAGTGTTTTATTTAGAGACAGGGTCTCGCTGAGTGAGAAAGGAGAAGGTCCCCAGGGTGGGGTTTGGGCTTGTTCTCCCCAGGAATGATTATTTGGAGAAGCATCATTCAGCTTCTGGGCTCTATTTGTTTTGACTCAAGTGTTCCATTAAGTTTGGTTCAAGGGAGGGTTGAGGTTAGGTTTCAGCGGGTGTCTGTGATTGGGAAAGTGAGGGAAACAGGACAGGTGAACCCAGGTGAGCTGCAAAGTCCTGAGCAAGGTGAGGTGGTGGCCCTGATGAGTGACACCGTGGCACTGCTGAGCATTCCCAGGAGAGCAGAGGGCTTCCGAAGACTGCTCTTTCTGCTACCGGGGAAAGCTCTGGATTATGGCCATTGTATTCTGAATGCTTTACAGATGTGTCCTTAGGCAGAGCCTGGGGATGTCTGGAGAGCTCTTTGCTGCATGCATTATATATTTTAATGGAGGGTGTGAGGCATCTTCCATAAAGGTTGTATTTATTTATAGAATCACCAACAGCCTACCTACCTGTCTTCTCAAACACTGGCTATTACAAAGGTTTTATTCATTGCTAATTAAATAAATGAATGTCAACAAAAATCTGCATATTTTAAACTTTTACATTTGCATGTTTTTAATCAATAGTAAGGTTGAGGTCTTTTTGGTTCAGTATTGCTCTGTCCTTTGGAATTGACGGGTCATGACCTTGACAGTTTTATTCTCATCTGTCAGCAGCTGTCTCCTTGATTTAGAAGAGCAACGCTACCTGTTTTGCTTGACGTATTCTGCAAGTGGCGTTCGCCGTGGAATGTACTAAAGCAATTATCATGAGGATAAATCTTTCGGTATTTGAAGCAATGACTGCATTTTATTTTTGCAGCCATTGTTATTAAGCGCTCCCTTGCATTCTCTGTAGACTTTGTTCTGTGGTTATTGGGGCACAGCATGCACGACTCTTCCCATCACATTAGCTAGGTGTTTGTTCTTCACTGAGCTGCGTCTTCCAGGTGACTGCATTATGCCCTCAAGTGGATTTTTTCCCCCAGCATGAAATATGAAAAATGCTGCAAAAACTGATTCCTTCTGTATTCAAGAACATCTTTCTTTTTTCTTTACATATGAACTGGATATAGAATTGAGAAATTTTTTTGTGGGGGTGGGTACCAGGGTTTGAACTCAGGGGCACTTGACCACTGAGCCACATCCCCAGCCCTATTTTGTATTTCATTTAGAGACAGGGGCTCCCTGAGTTGCGTAGCGCCTCACCATGGCTCAGGCTGGCTTCCAACTCTCAATCCTCCTGCCCCAGCCTCCTGAGCTGCTGGGATGACAGGCGTGCGCCAGCTTGCCTGGCTAATTGAGAAATGGATGACGTTGTTCTCGGCATTTCAGGTGAAGGAAAACAAGGGGAATAAGGACTAGAGAGAGTGAATCGTGATTTTCAATGTTGTCACACCAAGAAATGATAAGTGTTTAAGGTGATAGATACACTAATTAACAGATGTGCTGGTTAGACAGTGGATACATTTACAGATTGGATTCCATGTTTTCATGAGACACTACATTGTGCCCCATATCTATATGTACCATTGATAGGTGTCAGTAACATTTTATTTACATGAAGGAAGACAGAGTAGGTGACAGCGTGGTCAAATGTTGGAGGCCCTTAAAAACAGGATAGAGGGCACCGAAGGCAACTGATCAGAGAGGGGACATGCACACAGCCGGGTGGTAGTCAGATTAGCCTCGTGAAGGTGATGGGGAGAATGAAAGGTGGGAGAGGGACTTGGTTATCAGTTGGTCATGACTTGGCCACAAGTCACAGAAAGCTATCATAGGAATTCATCTATATTATATAGCAAGAAGTCCAGAACTAGCAGGGGCTGGTGTTGGTTTCATTGCTCATTACTGTCGGAGCTGATGTCATAGTGTCGCTCTGGGACTTTTCCTCATGATTGCAACATGGCTGCTGCAGCTCTGTATATCCTTGTGGCTTTGAAGCACAAGGTGGAGGGAAGAGGAGCAATAGCCACAACTTACTGATTTTATTAGGGAAGTAGCCACTTCCCAGAGCCCCCCTCCTTCCAGTAGGCTTCTGTTGACAAGTCATTGGTCAGAGCTGTGACATATGGCCATCCTCTCTACAAGGAGGCTGGGAAGGCAAGTTGCTTTGCTAGGCATGTTTCAAAGAGGGAAAAAATGGGGAATGGACATTTATAGGAAATTTGAAGTGTCTACCAGAACCCCCCAAAATACCACCACCAACAGAACAAAACAAACACACACGATAAATTGGACTATGTTAAAACTAAGAACTTCTGTCGATTCATCAAGTAACATTGTAAGGAAAGTGAGAAGTGTAACCTGGGGAAAGAGGCTGACCAAGGAACTGTATCCAAATATACAAAGATTCACAGTCGATAAAAAAAGATGGACAAGTCAAGGGGAAGAGAACAGGCAAATAAACACACACACACACTCATACACAAAAACACTTCACAAAAGAGCATATCCAAATGGTCTCTAAACATCTAAAAATGTCTTCACTGTCATTAGTCTTCAGGGAAAGACTCATTCCAACCACAGGAGTTTCTGTTATGCACCTATAAAAAAATGGCTAAAATGGAAGACAGACGTGACCTCGTGGTGATGGCAATGTGACGCAACTGGAGCTCTCACACTCTGCTGGTGGGAGGGAAAATTATCCGCCATCTCTTTGGAAAACGGGTCGTCTCTACTAAAGCAGTCTTCTGGATCCTCTATGCCCTAGCAATCCCACGTCAGCAGAAATGTTCAGCAAGGGAAAAAAATATGCGTGCAAGCACACCTGTGTTTGTGTATTCAGTGGAAGACGTGCACGGAGCATCCGAACAGCACTGTGTGTAATAATCGAAACCAGAAGTACCAAATGCCTGTCAATGGGAGAATATAATGGGGGCGATGGCCGGCATCTCATTGGTGGGGGGGTTCTTCTTCCTGCCAAGGAGGGTGTAAGCCATCTGGAAACTTAAAGTCTAAATTAATTAGTGAAGAACCAAACAGAAATAGTCAGAAATATCTTTACATAAAGCAGAGCCCCTGATAGATCTGGTCCCCATGGGTGCTGGACTAGACCAAGGAAGGATGGCTCTGGTGGTTTATTTAAGGCAGGGATCAAAGTTTATTTAAGGCTGGGATCAAAGGTACATCAAAGGCTGGGATAAGGTTTCAAGGGTGGAGTCTTGCTTCCCAATGTCTTGCAGTCAGCAGGTTGATTGGCATCTCGGCAGGTCACACCCATCTCAGGGGCTGTGTGGGATCTTTGGCAGAGCTTGAGGGAGAGGTTCAGGGTGCATCAGGAGGTCCATCCCTGTGGGTGGGGGGGTGCCACCGGAAGTTCCCATTGCCAGACTTCTCCCCTCACTAGGCTACGATGTGCAACACAGTCCACACACTGAGGGCTCTCAAGAAGAATAGATAAATAAATGGGATCTGTTCATTCATACATGGAATACTATATGTCAATGACAATGCACATTCTGTAAGAATATGCAACAATGTCTATGAATCTTGAACCGAATGTTGAGCAAAAGAATGGTACAGCCTATCCTGTGTGGTTACATATGTATAAAATAGGTGCTGGTGCCTGGCGCTGTGGCCCACGCCTGAAATCCCAGTGACTCAGGAGGCTGAGGCAGGAGGATCTGTGAATTCAAAGTCAGCTTCAGCAATTTATCAAGGTCCTAAGCAACTCAGTGAAACCCTGTCTCCAATAAAATATAAAAATGACTGGAGATGTGGCTCAGTGGTTAAGCACCCTTGGTTCAATCCCTGGTACCAAAATAAATAAATATAATAAAAATACATGCTGGAGTGCAGGAGAAACTCATACATGCTGTTTAAAAAAAAATTGGGATAATCCCGATACTGGTGAGGGGGAGGGTTCTGGGAGGGGTGGAGGTAGTAGTGACTGACAGGAAGCATGAGGCGTCATTCACTGGTGATGTTCTCAGTCTAGGTGTTGGTTATACAGTCATCATCAGTCTGTGGCAATTCATTATGCGGCACATTTATAATCAGCACTTTTCTGTTCCTATGTTGAATAAGGAAAATCAGATTCTTTTTTTTTTTCCAGTGCTGGGGATTGAACCCAGGGACTGTGCCTGCTATACCCCCAGAACCCTAGATTTTTAACAAGTGGCTGCCACAGCAGGTGTGAGATTAGGAAAAGGGGTCCTTGTCATCTTCTTGCCTCATTATGAGCTGCCAATGCGCCTGCCTTCTTCAGAGACCCCCTTCTGGCGCAGGGATGTAGCAGTACAGCCCACCGCTGCCCCTAGTTCAACTGGAAGAGCAGAAACACGTGGAGGCTACTCGGTCATAATTATTTATCACAGGGGTCCCACAGTCCCACAGGGCTTCATGGTGAGGGGGAGACCCACAAGTTACCTCTTCCACCTTTTTAAGGAAGAAGATGGAAACACAGGAGGCTCGGCGAAGGATTTCAGACTTGGGGCAGTTCTTTCAAATGGACCCGACCAGTCAAAACATGCCTTGGGGGCCAGATGTGGCCAACAGGAGACCTGTTTGCAGCCACTGGCGCCCAGGTTGGATGATGCACCTTCTGCTGCAGCCGGGATCATAAAAACAGGAGCTGCTCTCTACGGGGCCCTGGCTGGGACCTTTCCCTGGAGGATTTCCTCAGTCCTCAGCTGTCAGCCACAGCTCTTGTGTAATGAGAGCTTTCCAGGAAAAGAAGAAGAAGAAAAGGAAGAGCCCAGGCTGTCAGACTGAATGGATTCCTCTATTAAAGGTGCACCTAGATTTCGTAATCATAAAATGTCAACCAACAGAACAATGCAAACGTCTGTCTTAGAAATGACTCAGTATGGTACATAGTCTCCTTTTATTTGCTTTTTTGGTATCAAAAGCACTTAACCACTGAGCTACAGTCCCAGCAACACCCCCCCACACACACACACCTTTTTTTTTTGAGACAGGGTCTCTAAGTTGCTTAGGACCTTGCTGATTTGCAGAGGCTGGCCTCCAACTCATGATCCTCCTGCCTCAGCCTCTCGAGATGCTGGGATTACAGGCGTGCACCACTGCACCTGGCACTCATGTTATTTTTACAAAAACATTGTGTGGTGAGTTAAGTCCAATTTAGTTGAGGCTCAGTGAGGTCAATGAACTGTCCCAAGTTTACAGACCAGCAAGCATATCTGTGACACCCCCCATCCATACTCCTAATTGCTGCCAGACAGTGCATCTCAAAGGGTGGAATGAATATCAGTGAGGGCAAATATTTGCAGATTTGGGCAAATGTTACAGCGAGCTAAGCGACTATAACAAATAGACCCAGCCATATAATGGCAAAAATGAGATTTAAATGTATTTCCTGTTTATTTAGGAATAAACAGGCAGTTCAGGGACGTGGGCTGCTCTCTTCCATGCCGTCCTTCAGGGCCGTGGGTGACTTTCCCTTTCAACATGTGGCTTCCGACCTGTCACTAGCTCTGTGAGCTCAAAGGGGAAGAAGCGTGGAGGAGGCAGCTGCTGTCTTGAAGCCCTGGCTTATAAATGGCAACCACTCACATGATATTCAGAATAACTCAGGCCACACTAAACACAAAGTGCTGGTGGTGGTGGGGGGCTAGAAAATGAGGTCCCACCCATGAAATAGCCACCCCTGCATCACCATGAAAGGCGAGAGTGAATTTTTGCAAAAAAAGCTACTCATCTCTTTCCCAAAGTGGCTTTCGGACATGCACCGATGTCAAGAAACAGAGAAATTCTCAATTTGGGGCTAAAAAGTTCTTTAACCCTCCTCTCCTTTGGCTCGCTTATTTTTTGTGTGTTTGTTTACAAAGAGAGTAGATGATCGTGTATCCCAGAGCTTTACTCACCATATCTTCATCTTATTCTAAAATCGGCTTCTCTGTGTTTTGGCAAAGGATGGTAGGCAGGGACAACAGCTTTCCTTTGGCAAATTCACGGGTTGCGGTGGAAAGCAGTCGATATTTTAACATGCTCAATAATCGTGCAGGGGCACGTGAGCATGACGAAACTCAGTGAATGTGCTCTGCAAACGGCCGAGTGCTGGTTAAACCGTGCACCATAGTGGAGTTGCCAGGCAATGAATCTGAAGTTGAGGTAAGCAGCCCAGGCTTGTGGGTGGCCAGCTTGGCAGAGCATGAGCCGGGACTTGCTTGAGGCCAAGACTGGTCCTGGGGTGACCATGAGGGGAGCCCAAAGCCAGCCGATCTCACTGGTCCTCGGGACATCAGCAAGGGCTCGTGGACCTGCCCGGTTCCTGAAACTGGGGCTAGGAGCGTTTCTTCCCTCCTGATTCCCCTCTGTCCCACTGGGCCATCTTCCAGAGGGTAGAATTCTTGGGCTTTTTTTTTTTTTTTTTTTACGGAAGACTCTATACCCTGGCGAAGCTCCCATCTGGCTGCCTGTCACACTTCCTGAGGGTAAGAGAACAATGGAGCCAGCCCCAGTCCTGCATCCGTCCTGGAAACGGCGGGCTGACCCAGGCATTTCAAGTTATTCCTTCCGGCCAGTGATGAAGGACCGCAAATTTGGCCACGGAAGATCCTAGGAAATGCCTTGGGAGTTGAAAGACCCTGGAATGATCTGATAAGCTTTGTATCCAGTCTTGCTGAGGGCTCTGGATGCCCAGATAATGTGGGGTTACTCACTGGTTATCAGAGAAATGCAAACTAGATGTTTTCCACTCTTGAGAGTGGTGACAGATTTGCAGATCTGACTATCTGCCATCAGGAATGTGGGGAAAATCCTCTCAGAGATGTCTAGTGGGATATCTCGGGAGATTTACTTTGGGGAACAAATTGGCACTATCCAGAATAATTTTAGCATGTTGCCTAAAAAAAATCTCACAATTAAAAATATATATTAATAATAATAATAATAATAATAATAATAAAGCTTTTACAGCTGGGCAGGGTGGTTCGGGCCTGTGATCCCAGAGACTCGGGAGGCTGAGGCAGGAGGATCTCAAGGTTGAGGCCATTCTGGGCAACTTAGTGAGGCCCTGTCTCAAAATGAAAAATAAAAAAGGCTGTGGGTGTAGCTCAGTGGTAAAACACACCTGGGGTTGATCCCCAGTGCCAGGATATAAATAAACAAATAAAATTGAATACAAAAAACCAAAACTTCTTACATATGTGCACAAGGAGGAATGTACAAACGTGTTCATTGTAGCTTGGTTTATAATGGCAAACAAAATCAAAACAGAACTGGAGACAACCTAGAAATCTAGCAATGAAGAGATGGATGGATAAAATGTGTCTGTGCCAATCAAAGCTAACAGCCTGTTCTACACAGGTGCATGTAATGGAGCTAAGACCAGAGTTTTGAGGGGAAAAGCAGTATGCGGAATGAGAGGTACATTCATAATCTATTGTCCTACAAGAAAGTATCCACATAACTTCATGGCTTCCAGCAGTATGGAGATTCCTCAGAAAGCTTTGAATGGAACCCCCATTTGACCCAGCTGTCCCACTCCTCAGTTTATATCCAAAGGACTTAAAATCAGCCACATCAATGTTTATAACAGCTCAATTCACAATAGCTAAGCTATAGAACCAATCTAGGTGCCTTTCAACAGACGAATGGATAAATAAAATGTGGTATGTATACCCAAAAGAATATCACTTAGCCATAAAAAAATGAAATTATGGCACTTGCTGGTAAATGGATGGAGCTGGAGACTCTCACGCTAAGTGAAATAAGCCAGTCCCAAGAAATCCAAGGTTGAATGTTCTCTCTGATATGTGAATGCTGACACACAATAAGGAGTGAGGGGAGAATAGAAGTTCATTGGATTAGATAAAGGAGAGTAAAGATTAGGACCAGGGAAGGGAATAAGAAAGACAGTAGGATGAATGGGACATCACCTTCCTGTGTTCCTATATGAATACATGACCGGTGCGTCTCCACGTCATGTACAACCTCAGGAATGGAAGTTAGACTCCATGTATGTATAATATGTTAAAATACACTCTACTGTCATGGATAACTAAAAAGAACGAATGAAAAAAACTTAGTGGCTTTCAGCCACAGCAAATACCTATTACTGTCATAGTTTCTGTGAGTCATGAAATCAGGAGTAGCTCCGCTGGGAAGTGCTGGTTCAGGGCTCCTTGGGAATTGCAGTGGAGATGTCAGCCAGAGCTGCAGGCGTTGATGACTTAGTTGAGGTTGGACGATCTGTTCATCAGAAGTCCTGCTCATCTGACTGTCAAGTTGGTGCGGACTATTTGTGGGAGCCCCACGTGGACTTCCTCCTGGGAGCTGCTTGAGCATCCTCACAACATGGCAGCCAACTACCCCCACCCTCAGCACCAGCCGTCCAGGCAAGGGCAAAGAGGAAGTGGCAGTGTCTTAGGACCTGGCCTTGGGAGTCCTACACTGTCACTTTTGTCACATAGGATTCAATGAGTTGCTCAGTCTGATCCACATTTAAGGAAAGAGGAATGAGGCTCCATCTTTGAAAACTTGCATATATGTGGTTTTATGTACTTAAAAGTGACATCAAGACACACACACACATACACACACACACACACTTCTTTTCAACACTTGGATGCTAGAAATTATTTTTTTGGAGGTTGCTGAGCCTCTAAGATATGAGATTTGGGCTGTTGGAGGCCATTTTTCCCATCAGAGTTAAGAAAGCCTTTCCAAAGGACTGAAAGACTAAGTCTGCCCAACTGAAATCATTGAAGCCCCTGGATCAAGACATGCCTGAACCCAAATCATTTTCTCTGGTATTTTCAGTTATATAAAATAATAAATCTGCCCCCCCCTTTTTTTAACTTATGATGGCTTAAATTGGGTTTCTGCACCCTGCTGTCATAGCACTCTGCATGGAAACATTGGTGTTGGTGTCAGAGTTTCAATCTGTGTTAAGGTCAAGGTTAGGTGTTAGGTATTATAGAACTTTGTGATAAAATTGACACTCATTTTGGACTTTGGTAACAAAAGTTCACTCTCACTTGGAAATGTCTCTTGAATGTATCCATTTCTGCTGTTACCAATTTAGTTCAGGCCCTTGTCCGCTTTTGCTTGGATCATTGCAGTAGTCTCCTCACTGATCTCTGAGGCACTCTCTTCCATCTGCTGTCTTCCCTGATGCAAATAGACTATGGTTTGAAAACTAATATGATCATGTTGCTTCCGTGCTCAAAAAACCCCCAATGACACCAATGTCTGGAGAATCAAGTCCAAATGTCTCAGTATGACCTTCAAAGTTGCCCTCTCTCTCTCTCTCTCTCTCTCTCTCTCTCTCTCACACACACACACACACACACACACACACACACACACACACACATACTTCTTTTCTCACTTCCATTTAGGAGTAGGGGGATATGTCTAACATTGGTGTTAAAATTAAAGCCAAGTTTGGGTCTGTGACAACTAGCTTCCACGATGGTCCCCAGTGATTCTCACCTCCTAGCATTTATGCCACTTGAATATTTCTGCTCTGTTCTCTCATAATGAATAGGGCCAATCTGTGTAACCACTAGGATACTGTGAAAATGACGGAGTATATGTGAGGGTTAATTTTACCTGTCATCTGGATTGGACCACAGGGTGCCCAGATATATGGCTTAACATTATTTCTGGATATGTCATATAATCAGTTTCCTCAAAGAACAGAGAAATCAGATTCTCCCTTCCTCCACATTTTTTTTTCTACTTAGGTCCTCAATGGAGAAGTTGATTTTTTTCTGCCTATTTGAGCTAATGGTCTTCTCTTGTCCTTAGACTGCAACTTGAAGATTGGTGTCCCTGGTTCTTAAGCCTTCAGACTTGGGCTGGAACTTAAACTATTAATTCTCCTGAGACTTGGATAAAAACTATACCCCAGCTTTCCTCCAACTTCCAGCAGATCCTGGGCTTCTCAGCCTCTCATCACGTGAACCAATTCCTAACACTAAATCCCAACGCTCCTGTTCTGCCCTCAGGGAACCAATTATATGCACATTTATCCCTCCAATCTCTTCTCCAGTCTGCTTATCTTTTATCTTTCTCCCTCATTCCTTCTCTCTGGGCTTTACAAGAACTTCTTGATCTTTTCTTTGGATCCACTGACTTGATTTTATGGAGCAGTCTTCTAACTCTATCTACTGCCCTTTTGGACTCAATAGATAACATTTTTTATGCTCTGGGATAATTTTCTATTCGACATTGCTTTAGAGATGCAGTAGCTTCAGGTCTTGTAACTACCATTAGAAATTCCTCTTACATTTTGTCCCCTGAGCCTTAAGGGTGACTTATCCAGAGACTTTTGCTCTCGTTCCTCCTATCAGTATCCTTTGACCCGCTAGATCTTTGCATATATCCATTATTCTCTGTTTGCCCATTTTTTTACAGGAGGAGGCCCATGTTTGCTCAATGTTGGGTGTTCAGATGGATTAAAGAGTCTGTTTAAATTTTTTTGACTCAGCCAAAGAAAGGAGGGAAAAGTTTATGTTTACTGTACCTTTACTTTGTACTATTGGAGAGTCAGCAACGCATGGAGATAGGGAGGCAGCTTCAATGAGGTGGGGTATTTCTTCTTTGTGCCAATTGTCCTCGGTCACCTTCATGGGGGTGTTGTAGGAATCAGATTTAAATGGGGGAAATTAAAAAAATAAAACTCTTTTTTTTTTTGGTACCAGGGATTGAACCCAGGGGTGCCTTACCACTGAGCCACTTCCCCAGCATTTTTTTATGTTTTATTTAGAGACAGGGTCTCATTGAGTTGCTTGGGGCCTCGCTAAGTTGCTGAGGCTGGCTTTGAACTCAGAATCCTCCCACCTCAGCCTCCTGAGCTGCTGGGAATGACAGGTGTGTGCCATCATGCTCAGCCCCCAAATCACTTTTGACCTGACCCTGTTGTCATTGGGGCTTGCTCTTGGGGTTGTACGCTCTATGGGTTTGGATAAATGGCCCTTATTGCTTGGGTGTGACCCTGCTCGACCTCTCACAGCTCCTGGCTTTAAGGCATTTGTGGGTACTCTGGCAGGCCCAAGCTTTGCTTCTCCATAAACCACACCCCTGACCTCCTCTGTCCCCCTTGGAGCTGGCAGCGATCACAGGGCTACTTGGATCCCCTCTGCTGCTTCCTGCCTGACATGAATCATGGCCTGGTAGTCCCTGCCCTCACCTGGTTTGAGCTCAGTGTATGTTGCAGACATCTGCATTTCTGTTCCTGTCTGCTGGACGTGGCACCTCCTACCCTG